CCAGCTGTTGTCAAGGTCATCCAGCTGTGTAAACAATGACTCATTGCTGTCAAATTTCGCAGAAAGGGCATAAATAAACGACTCATTGCTGTCAAATTTCGCAGAAAATGGCATAAATAAACGATATAATCGTATTTTCTGATGGCAGTAATGTCATATTTTTATTTAAAAACTAGCAGGTAGGCCCGGCGTTGCAAATAAATTGAACCAAAGTTTGCCGGTTCAATTTATTTGCGATATGTGTANATCGTATTTTCTGATGGCAGTAATGTCATATTTTTATTTAAAAACTAGCAGGTAGGCCCGGCGTTGCAAATAAATTGAACCAAAGTTTGCCGGTTCAATTTATTTGCGATATGTGTAGGGCATAGACAACTTGCTATTAAGCATATTTCATTACTATTATCAGACTCAATATTTAGACTATATTGAGGAGACAATGGAAAATAAAGTTTGGAGCTTTTGCTTCAAAATTAACGCAATTATTTTGTATTTTTCAGTTTTAAATATCTTTTATGTTTAATTACATTAATATCATGAATTGGAAAGTCGCAAAGGAGTTTTAATAGTGAATTCCAATTTATAAATTGTCAATAACAAATTTATATACCTGTCTATCTTGCCCCATTATTGTTGCCGAAGTTGTCCCTATACCAGGGGCAACTTCGGCAACTGCTATCTTTTTATAAAGTTATTATTCTTATGATTATTTTTATTTCCAAACTGATTTTAACCAGTTCTATAGTAAGGTAACATTCTACTAGACAATAAACAAAGCTTTTTTTCAGTTTACAGCAATATTTGTTACACTAAAATTAAATTATTCTTAACGTGCCGAAGTTGCCCCGTCCTCCCCTATTAACATTTTCTAAAAAATATGTCGAATTTTAAAATGAAATATTTTAATTTTATTCGTGCTGCACAGGCTAATATCAGCTTGGCTTCTCAGAATTCCGCGACACAGGAGCTGAGATTTGGGGTCTCGCGCTACTTGAATGTTTTTAAATATTAATTTTTTAAAAATTACATATTAAAGTTTTATAAAAAAAAATCTCATTTTGTAAGAACAAATCTTTTATATTTGTTTTAGATAGGGATCTCGAGAATTTTTGACGTGGTATTTAAAATTATAGTTAAGTCACTGTATAATACAGTATTTATTGTAGTAAATGAACCCTGTTTACATTTCATTTTATTATATAACACTATTTGATTTAGCTTTAATTTATAATAGTTTATATTTTAAGTAATATTTACGTGCCATATTTTTCACATAATAAATTTTATTCGTCAATTTAAAATACAGTGGAACCTCTATATTCGTTATTAATGTGTTCCTAAGGACCTAACGAATATGGAATATAGAAACAATTTTTCTCATAATAAATAACTGATATTCAACTAATCCGTTTCCATCCTGAAAAAAAGTACAAGAATAAAAATGATGTTGTTTGTTAGACTTTACTGTACTAAATAAATACAGTAATGATAGTGGTAGAAGGGGAAGAACAGTATTATTAATATACTATATTAATAAGTCTTCTAAACAATAATACTATATCAATTAAAACATTAGGCAAATCCAATTATGATCATAGGGTCTGTTTTGCCGATGATTCAGTAGCGCACTATTTAATAAAGAACTTGTCCAATGTTGTGTTTTTTTTTTTTTTTTTTTGTCTGCTTTTTAAAACTTTTCTGAAGTAGGCAATTACATTNTATAACTTAATTTAAGCATTGGTTGTCATATGCTTTCATTTGTTACGCTGATAGCATCACTGACTATTCTGTTACATACATGCAGAGAAATATAAATGGGATGAGATAACATCAGTCTGCAATGGCATAGCCAGCAATTAAGTTTGTGTGGGCTAAAAAAAATAAACTAAAATTACAGTAGTATTATTTTATAGGCCTATATATATTTTTTATTAATACAAATGTCAAAACGACAAAAACTTCGAGATTGACAACTTCGAAATGGCAAGAAACGTGCATCAGAATTTCGTAGAAAAGAAAATTCAACTTTAAATTTCAATTAAAATTATTATTATTTTCGGTGGAAAGTAGTCCATTTCATAAAATACTATTTTTGATGTTGATTTATTACAGAAGATCAATAATTTATCGTAGAGAAAACTAACACTTTTACGACAGATTAAAATTTATATATATATATATTTCGTTATTCGATGATTTAAATGTGGAAATTTCCTTCTTAAATGACCAAATGGTTTATTTGATGAAAATAGAATTAACAAGAAAAATAAGAGCAATGATTAATTAATTAATTAATTAAGCAGCGAGGAGGATTTAAAAATTTGAGAGAAAAAAAAAGAATTTTCTCTTCATATTACTTATTTTTCATATTATTTTGCATGAAATTAGTCATTGTTAATGTTATCGTAGAGGAAAAGAAAATATAAGCCTATATACCGTAAACATACGCAGTCTAGTTTCGTCATGAATATTTCTACTATTCGTGATAAAAAGACAAAGAAAAACGTGACGTTATTAATGTCTCCCCCACTCCGGGTCTAACCTTTGTAACGAAACAGTTTTATTCTAAAAATGAATTAATGTTCTTATCAAATATAGGCCTATATATATTAAATCATAAACTCAATAGTGATTTACAAAATAAATAAATTTTATTACTATTGCTACTTAAAAAAATTATTTTAATACGATTTTGTGAAGTAGGTTTACGTGACTTTCCAATGGAATTTTCAATTCGTTTATGACTAAGGTTTGTTTTTCTTTTTAAATGGTAGAAAGAAATGTATAGAAAGTTAAATTATCGAAATAAAATATCAAATAAATTTTTCATTATAGACAAGCATTTATTATATTTATTGACCGAACAAGGAGAAACATCAAATAATATAACTTAACAAATTGGCATTGTTTCGCGTTACAATAAATTGAATATTTGATAATTGTTCAAGAAAATCAAAATGTTAATTTAATAAATAAATAAATAAATAAGATCCGAATAAATTAAACAATGATTCAAATTATATTAATTAATTGATAATAGATAATGTTAAATTAAACAAACTATAACTTATACATAAAATGAAACGTGATATTTACTTAAATTGCAATGTTGTTCACTGAATTTACGTCGAAATTTTATTAATTGTAAGATAAATCCTATGAAAAAATGCATTATAATTTCCCCAAATGTAAATGTAACATGATTCCTCTTTTACCTCTTAGAAAAAACTAAGATTATATGAAAAAAAAAGATTTTATCAGATAAAATATTTTTCGTTACTGTAATTTAGTAACTTCAAATCTCGTCTTAGTGTAATTTCCTTTAACCTCGAATATGTAAATATTCTTAATCTGTGATACAATCGCAATTCTTAAAATATATTAGCACATTTAATTATGATGATATATTATTTTATTGTCTTCTTTGTTACTCGAAAGCAATAATATCCCGTGTAAAATATAATTACCTATACTCAGAACGAGCAGCTAGCGAAATGGCCATCAAATTCTTCATATTTTACTCGTTATTAGTAACTAACTGCGAATAATTGAATAGTTTAATTTGATACGTGCATGAATTTAAATGAATAATTTCCTTGAACATTTCCTTGATACATTGCACATAATTGAAAGCTAGATTGTTAAATTAATTTTAAAAATCATTTTAAATTAAGTTAACTATAATGCATTTATAGCATAACACTAAACAAATTCTTGTAAAAAAAACACAAAAAAAAACTAAAAATTTTATTTTTATTGTAAGAAGAAAATGATTTTCATAGTAAAGGCAAAATTGCGCGGTCTTTCATAAGAAAGCTCACGAAAAACTAAAAATTTTATTTTTATTGGAAGAAGAAAATGATTTTCATAGTAAAGGCAAAATTGCGCGGTCTTTCATAAGAAAGCTCAAGGATAAATAGAGATAAAATCTATCATAATTTACCATTCTCACTCCGACATAAGTTTTAGTTCCAGGTTGTAATACCACACCCCCACCTTGCAGGGTAGGATAGGTTCCTTTCGGGTGTACTAATAATCGTGCACCAAATTCGGGAGACACTAAGTCCAAATAATCTTCGCGCTCTATATTTAATGTCAATCTCAATCCTAAAATTATACAAACTTAATATTTCTCATCTAAATCTGTACAGAAATGTAAATAAAGTCAAACTTACCTAAAGAAAGTCCCGTCTTTTTAACTTTTCGTAAAGGTTCTTTATCGACTACGATGGTATGGCACAAACCATAACGGGGCGAAGGATATTGATCCAATAAAACTATCGTCGAACTACGAATATTATTCAATTATTAAAAAGGTATAATCTTAATAAATGTAAAATTAATTTTAACTTACCTGTCATTAAAGCAATTTCTTGCATTATAAGTGCATTGAGTGATCAAATCCTGCGCTTGATGTCCGCATTTCATCAAGCTATCTTTAGTCGCAATAACGCTCATCCATACGTCACTTAAGTCCATGGTTTTACTCTTTTTTAAAAATTCGTTTTCCGATCTGAAACATATTCCTCGCTCTTCGATTTCGTCGTCGTCGTCGTATTTATCCGGGTTATAAAATTCGGATACGGACTGGTGAGTTTCCAAAAGATGTTCTCGAATAGAACTCTTTTTTAATGGATTGAGATTGCAAACAGTTAATGCGGGAAAATCAATATGATCGGCATGAATTTCTTCAGTAATAGTCATTCGCGGATAAGATAAATAAGTCAGTATCAAGTAAACACTGTGAAATCCGCATCCCGCTATAGCAAATAAAAATACAACCGACCACATCAATCTCCTAGCGTTATCTTGGGAACTGGCTATCCTCTGCACTCCATGAGCCGACGATCTGTAAGCAAAAGATCGACACAAACCACACAAAGAACTATTTTGACTTTGCGCTTCTAAATTCAATTTTCTCATAGAGGACGAAAGGACCGTGTGATCGCAAACTGACGTAAACGACGGCTGACATCTAAATGATGCTTTCTGGATATTCTTAGAAACTGCGTCATAAACATTCAATTCAGTTAATCATCAAATGAAATTTTCATCTTTTCAATTTTATCATTTACAACTAATACATTTAAATTTCAAAACAATTTATATTAATTATTATTTATTACATTTTATTACGACAAAATTAGAAATCTCTCGTAAAAAACTATTTAATGAATATAAATTGAGTTTAAACGTTTCAGACTCGGCCAATCTAACGACAAAAGATGTGTGAAAATATGTATATTCTAATTTAATGGAATTTGAATCTATATTGAAATTTTAAATTTTGTTCAAGAGCATCTAAAGCGTAATTTAAAAACAGATTATTGCTCGAGTATTTGACGATTTGTAGGACAATTATTACTTATATACAGCTATTAAAATTACAGTATATAATATATACAGTACTGAATTTTTTTTTAACTTAATAGAATTAAAATATCCTGTAAACGTATATTCTTTACATTATAGAACCGTAAATGGTTAAATTTTCTTTCATGGTATCTTGTAACATAGAAAATATATTTCTTCAATTTTTTCGCATTAACTGTTATATATTTAAATATACAATAATTTACATTAGAAACCGTCAACAATTACATCATAAACTATTAGGTGCATTTAAATTATATGTAAACTTCTAATAACAAATGTAAGACTCGAGAAAAACTGATTTTACAACAGTAATACGATACCTCAAACAATGCTTCATAAAGTACAGATTAAGATTTTTCTAGAATTTTGCCTAAAGTATTTATTATTTCTAAAATAAAAAAGTCATGAATTCGGGCAGTACAAATATTGCCGTCCAGTACCGACCAGTTACTATTCTAAAGGATATAATGATTTTCCGCCCGAATCTTTTTTTTTTTCTTTTCTGGGTCACTATCATTATCTTCCTTTTCTCGGATAAATTCGTCCAACCAAAAGTACACAATTTGGCATTTTTGTTATTTTGTGGTGAAGAGAGAAGTATCCGAACAGCCATTGTCATATGGCAGAAGTAGAAAACTGTCGACGATATATGGCATCCATGTAATATGTGGGTTCATTAGCCAATAGAAATCAGTCATAAAGAATGCCAACCTCTTATTATATAGGGCCACTACTATATAAGACCTGGAATTGAATCTGGGAGGAGAATTCTCAGGAATTTTTCACGTTCGGTCTGTTCCGGATATGTCGGGTTCTTTCTCTCACCCCTCGGCAACTCTATTGTAGGCCTGGACGAACGTTAAAATGGGTACGGAAAAAGGCTTTCTTATTACCCATCAGTAGCGTAGCCAGAAATTTAGCAAGGAGGTGCAACCAAAAAATTCAAGGATATCGAATGTTGTTTGAATAAAACTGCAAAGCGAAAGTACACAAAATTATATGATATATGTTTTATTGAATATAATTGGTTTATAATTTTATATCAACCGAATATAAAGTCGAACTTCCAGCAAGGGTCAATTTATTTTTTGAACAAAAATGCATACAAAATAATTTTCAAACAATGGTCACTCCCTAGCCACTAAAAAATTCAATTTTTAACCTTCCAAACAATGGCAGTGGCCATTATTGGCAGGTTATCAATAGTAATTACACTGACTATAGTAATTACAGTGCATTATTATTTATACCTTATGAAGTGACTACAGTGCGGACTATTAAGGCTGGTATACACGGTAAGGAAATCCTCAAAGGATGTGCTTAACAGACGAAAAAAACTCGGATATAACTGGCTGGATCGAACATAGTAATTTACAAAACTTATTAAAATATCTTCCAACGTATAAAGGATTATTTTTATTTAAAAATGGATAGATAGAAAAAAAAATCACGGTTAATCCTCAAAGGATTTCCTTACCGTGTATACCAGCCTTTAGTCACTATCGACGAGTTACTTGCTTTTCATGTGGTTATTAAGCTTGGCTGTAAACGTAAACAATAATTTTTTTTTTTTAATCAAGGACTAATTATGTGAAACGCTGAGGACAACAATCGCAAAAAAAAGAAAAAAAACTTGTAGGAAAGTCCTCGAATGTGCAGAAAACTAAAAGCATAAATATAAATCGAGTTTATTTTTGTAGACTACGACTCTAAAAGCTGAAAATTTTTGGTACAAAAACAGTACTTTCTTAATGTTATTTGATTTCAGCTAGAAAATCATAGTTTAGTGATGATCTCCAAAAATTGTTTAAAACATGAAGTTGTGAGATGGTAATTTACAAAATTGGTAATATCATTTTTTTTTCTAAATCGTTATTTTAAACATTTTTAACCGGCTCATATTTACAGGGAAAGTGAAACACGTTGGAAAATTAGCAGAGCAATAGCTGACGGATTGCTGCTTTGGTTGTGCATATTGCAATCGATATCGTTAATTAAAACTATAGTAACCATCAGTTAACAAGTGTATCGGTGACATTTCGAAATATTATGAGTACAGTATAAAAGTCACCTATTCATATCTAAATCGAAGCACTTGGCGACTTGTAGTATGTTGCATATCTGGTTAAATCAACCATGAATACAGTATTTGTGAGGATCTCAGAGGAAGTTAAATAAAAAGCCTAAGGAACGACGGCGGGATGGCCGAGTGGTTGAGGTACCCGGGCATATAATCCGGACGGGTCGAAAAAACCCAGGAATAATTCCGAAGTTTCTCCGTCCGGATATGCCGGCCATTATCTTTCGACCGCCCCATTATGGGCCTATTCCAATCTATAATAGGTTTGTTAAAAAAGCTGTCATAATGCCCACAGGGAAGAAATAATTTTTAAAAAAGCCTACAGGACAGAGAGAAACAAAAAATGACAAATAAAAAATTTTCGAATTTTTAAAATAAAATTTGGAATAAATTTAAATGGCTAATTAATAAATGCAATATTTATTTTTATAAATTACTATTTTATTTTATTTTCAATAAATTGATTTATTACAGGATAGATGCGATAATAAATCAAAATATTACATCATTAATTGAAATTTAAAATTGCCAATAGGTGGCTCAGTAATAAATGGCGACCGACAGTAATTCAAACTATTTACTGATGGAAGGTGCTTCTTCTAATGCTCCAGTATGTTTAAACTAATACGCTTATATAATAATATGATTTTCTTAAATTTTTTGAAACGTGAATTATTGTTAATTCATATTCATAGAAAAAATATAAACAGTTTTTGTTATAAACTGAAAAAATGAAATAATTATGAAAATATTGGATTTTGTCCATTTCTTAAAGCGTGGGGCGAAATCGACATTCCTCGCCTTGAAATGGATTATGAACTTTAAGACACGTGCATAAAAATTTTTAATATATTTTATGTTTTATATTTGCTTATAACAGAGACTGATCGTGTGAGATCATTCTGTTAGAGCAGTGTTTTTCAACTTTTTTCTAATAACATCCCTACTTTATGTTTAATAATACTTGCCAGAAGTGTTATGGTGCTACTCGGCACTATTCTGTTTGAAAACCACTGAGCTAATGTGTAGGAGGTGATGCTTGGATACATTTGTCCTCAAAGATATAAATCATTTATACTTGAAAATAAATTCATTAAATAACATAACTATAAAAATTTAATTTTCTTCTTGAAACTAGATTATTGTAAAATTTATCATTTGTACTAATTATAAAGATGATGTTGAATATTGGGTATTTAGTTATCTCACCAAATTACCTTTTTCCTTTTAAATGCAAATACAATGCTAGTGTTTGCAACAAGTAAAGTATGTTTGTAATTCTTCATTTACAGTTACTACTATGATAAAACTTTGCACTTAAAATGTAATTTTAAATTATGGTTGTCTAAATTTTTCTGTTATGAAAATAATAAACTGTGTAAAATTAATTTACTGGTAATTATAATGTCCTTTTCTGATAGCACCCTGGTTATCGTGGTGATAGTTATATTCCTTGATATGATTGCTGCAAATTTATATGCGGAAAGAATGCTGTATCTTTTTTGCATGTTTATTTTAATTTAATTCTTCTAATATTGCCAAATGTTCAAAAGTAGTTCCTGATAAACAGTAAAAATTATCACAATAACAAATCTTTTTCAAATATAAGTTATAGTTTTATATTTTAAAAAGAGAGTTGTATTTAATAAAAAGAAAACTCATAGCCACAAGTTTCTAAAATCCAGAATAATTTAATTCTTAGTGTTTTGGAAATAAATAATTTCTAAATTTTTTAAACTCTAACTTTAAAGTAGACTAATTGACATTGTTGTTTTGCTATACTCTTATAACGAGTCTTAACCAACATATAATAACATCTTAAATAATATATACATATGTATGAGAATTAATTTGTATTTAAAAATAGTAATTGCTATAGTGTAGATTAAATATTAATATTCCTGATCGTAAACTTATATCATCATAATTTTTTTAANTTATACAGATTCCGAAATAAACCGGAAAGGCTTTTCAATATCTCTCCGAATGGTATAGTCATTCAGTATGTTTTCATATATTAATTTTACAAATTCGCAGATTTAATACAGTATAAAATTTTTAAATATTGTTGATATTTAAATGAAATTATATAAATCATTTTATTAAACAGTTTGGCATATATTTTAAATAAACTCTTCATTTAAAAACTAGCAGGTAGGCCCGGCGTTGCAAATAAATTGAACCAAAGTTTGCCGGTTCAATTTATTTGCGATATGTGTAGGGCATAGACAACTTGCTATTAAGCATATTTCATTACTATTTGTTTGAGTTCACTAATTCATTTATATTGCTCTTAACTTGCATTAGGATGTTTTCAATTACAGTATTATCTGTTTGATTTTTTGTAATTAATTTGTGTTTACATTTTCTTTATTTATATATGTCTTTTAACTCGAATTTCGTTGTTATAATAATAAATACATTTTTGGACTTGCATTTCTTTGATTTAATTAATTCATTAATTAATTATATAATTATTTATATAAATCTCCTTAAGGACTTATCCCGAGATATCTCGGGCAAGTTCTATAGCCTTACATAAAACTCGGGCGTTTGGACTCCNTTTGATATAATTAATTCATTAATTAATTATATAATTATTTATATAAATCTCCTTAAGGACTTATCCCGAGATATCTCGGGCAAGTTCTATAGCCTTACATAAAACTCGGGCGTTTGGACCCTCTGAAAAAAATTTTTTTTCAACTTTTGGATGTTTTTTAGGTCTCCAAATTTTTTCAAAAATTTTTACCCGCGCGAAAAAATTTTATCGCGATTTTAATTTACTTTTAATGACACACGATTAACGCTTAATTGTTTTTAATGCGATTTTTTTTTATCAAATTTAATTAATCGTTCTAAAGTTGTAGTGCACGGATTTTACTTCGGTAAAGTTATTTAAAGCTACTTTCTGATATCAAAAACGGCCTCCAATAGTTGTTTAATTTTTTTAATTAATAGATTTTATTATATATAAGTTTAATTAAGTCGGAGGGTCGGAAATCGCAATAAAAATTTTATTTTTTAAAAAATATTTAAAAATATACGGCCAGCTAGTATTCACCCTACTTTAAACCCTTGTCCTCCCGAGACGTCTGAGAATGTCCCGGGAAACCGACACCAGCTGTTGTCAAGGTCATCCAGCTGTGTAAACAATGGCTCATTGCTGTCAAATTTCGCAGAAAGGGGAGACAATGGAAAATAAAGTTTGGAGCTTTTGCTTCAAAATTAACGCAATTATTTTGTATTTTTCAGTTTTAAATATCTTTTATGTTTAATTACATTAATATCATGAATTGGAAAGTCGCAAAGGAGTTTTAATAGTGAATTCCAATTTATAAATTGTCAATAACAAATTTATATACCTGTCTATCTTGCCCCATTATTGTTGCCGAAGTTGTCCCTATACCAGGGGCAACTTCGGCAACTGCTATCTTTTTATAAAGTTATTATTCTTATGATTATTTTTATTTCCAAACTGATTTTAACCAGTTCTATAGTAAGGTAACATTCTACTAGACAATAAACAAAGCTTTTTTTCAGTTTACAGCAATATTTGTTACACTAAAATTAAATTATTCTTAACGTGCCGAAGTTGCCCCGTCCTCCCCTATTAACATTTTCTAAAAAATATGTCGAATTTTAAAATGAAATATTTTAATTTTATTCGTGCTGCACAGGTTAATATCAGCTTGGCTTCTCAGAATTCCGCGACACAGGAGCTGAGATTTGGGGTCTCGCGCTACTTGAATGTTTTTAAATATTAATTTTTTAAAAATTACATATTAAAGTTTTATAAAAAAAAATCTCATTTTGTAAGAACAAATCTTTTATATTTGTTTTAGATAGGGATCTCGAGAATTTTTGACGTGGTATTTAAAATTATAGTTAAGTCACTGTATAATACAGTATTTATTGTAGTAAATGAACCCTGTTTACATTTCATTTTATTATATAACACTATTTGATTTAGCTTTAATTTATAATAGTTTATATTTTAAGTAATATTTACGTGCCATATTTTTCACATAATAAATTTTATTCGTCAATTTAAAATACAGTGGAACCTCTATATTCGTGATTAATGTGTTCCTAAGGACCTAACGAATATGGAATATAGAAACAATTTTTCTCATAATAAATAACTGATATTCAACTGATCCGTTTCCATCCTGAAAAAAAGTACAAGAATAAAAATGATGATGTTTGTAAAACTTTACTGTACTAAATAAATACAGTAAAGATAGTGGTAGAAGGGGAAGAACAGTATTATTAATATACTATATTAATAAGTCTTCTAAACAATAATACTATATCAATTAAAACATTAGGCAAATCCAATTATGATCATAGGGTCTGTTTTGCCGATGATTCAGTAGCACTCTATTTAATAAAGAACTTGTCCAATGTTGTGTTTTTTTTTTTTTTTTTCTGCTTTTTAAAACTTTTCTGAAGTAGGCAATTACATTATCATTGAATGTATTTGTATTTTGGTTGACTATAGCAACATTTGGGTGCCACTTTTGAGCGATCAGAACTTGGTTTCTTGCATTGATTATTTTTCAATAATTCAACAACACTCACGACGACCGCACAAAGCAGACTGATTGACTGCAGCTAGCTGATCGGCGCGGGCGTGCAATTGTAGTGCCACTTCCGGTGTTGGGAATGACGACGAATACAGAAAATACTGACGAATATGGAAAAATAAAAAAAAATCATTAAAATGTAACGAATATAGAGGTTCCACTGTAATTTAAACAGCATGATTTGATCTAAAAATTGGGTTAGGATCAAACGAATCATTTCAATTATATGAATCAATTCGCTTAGATTCCAGTTTGGAAGTTTTACAGATACTTACTCTGTGAAATAGCCTAATTACGTAAAATATTGCGATTGTGGTTTAAAATGATTTATTTAAAAATTAATTTTAATATAAGTTTAAATTAAATAATCGTAAATATCATTAGAATTTTAATCATTAGAACCTCATTAATGATTTCCTCTCTTACAATCTTTCGATTTAGTATATTTTTGAACGTGACTTCTTTCGGACAATCGAAAATTAATTCGTCGCTTTTTTATTTCTGATTTTTTAACCGAATTACTTTTTGGAAAATATTCCTTTCTTTTCTTATAGAGAAATGCCATAACACTAGCCATGTGTTCCAACACTTCTACGATAGTTATTGCGGAAACACCAATGTATAATCCCAGACATCCACCGAGATCGGCAAAGAGTTGAGGCAGCTGAAAATAAAAATTTTCAATAATATAATTGAAATATTTTAAAAAATAAATATTATATTCCTATATCGCTTTCTCGTTAAAGTAAATGTAAATATAATTCGTAGCGAATCCTCGATGATAGATAGAAACTCTCTTAACGTTTGAATGACCTGACCTAGCAACATTNTTAATTTTTGTTTTTTTTGACTTTCCACCCTGTGTGCATTAAGGATTTTTTATTATTCCAGTTGTGGCCAAGCACACAATGGGATGGTCAGGTGGTGAGGAACAGAGTTTGATGCATCTGTGATGGACCACCCACCAAAATATTTGTGTTTTCAAACTGCCAGATTCAATCCTGGGTTCTCCATAGTGGCAGGCTGATGCTTTAACTGCCTCGGCCATCTGGTTGGCTAATATTAAATTTCAAAACAAAGTTTAAAAAATTTGTGAACATTTTATTTACATATCTTTATTAGATAAAAAATCTAAATTTATTGATAGAAAATAAAAAGTATTAACAAAATTATATTTTATTACTCTAAAATAATCAAACTTAAATATTCAGATTTCCTTTTAAAATTTTATTAACAAAAATGTAGAGAACTAGAGACTATTCAGTGTCAGACTTATTGGAGCTCACTGATATATTGAATAATAGTTTCTCTAGTACTTTCATTATTTGTAAATTATTATTTTAATGAAATTAGATCAAAACTTAGTAAACTTGTTTAATTGTTTCGTACGTAATCTAATTAATACATTGCATTTTAAGACAGCTAAACACAAATCTTGTCATAATTTTGTTATATGTTACACTTCTGAACTATACTTGTCTCAAGATTTTTAATTTGAATCTGAATCATAAATAGAATTTTTCATTATTGTTTTAGAAAGATTGAATTGCCAAATGAATTGTGTAAATAAAATTGCATAAAGTAAATAATGATTTTTCTTTGATACTATAAAATAGATGTACATATTATGAATATTATGAAGTTCATTAAAATAATTACAATTCTGATTAAAAAGCTCAAACTTGATTTACATTAATCTTTGAATATTAAGATTGAAGATGCCCAAAAAAATTTCAGATTTAATAAGACATAACTTCTTATGAATGAAGTTTATATGTTCAAGTAAACAAAAAATAATATTTTTCTCTGGCAAAAATATAGTCAAGCTTTTAGCATTATTCTAAATAACATCACTCTTCTAAAACACCAATGAATATTTATGAATGAATGTTCTGTCTTAAATATTAAATAATTTTAATCTTAAATTAAAAGATGCATCAAATTACAGAAGTAACATCACTGAACATTATATGTTTATAACCCTTAATAAAAGCTTTATTTGAAAAATGTTACTGAACGTTTTACCATAGTTTTTCTTAATGAATCTGTCCTCCAAGTTTGTAACAGAAATTTCAAAACATCTGTATAATTCTTGTTTGAGAAGTTCAATTTAGTGCCAATTTCAGAAGCAAACAAATGGTGATAATAGAGAGTTGACTATATTTACTGAAAACAAATATTTTCAACTTCTTAACAGGTCCTCACTAGGTTATATAAACACTTGAAGCTCAAGTTTTAACTACTATCAATATTACCAAAGGTTCAGTGTCCAATAGCAATGGAAAGCTAACATTGCTTAATCAAAGTCAAATCACATGTAAATTTGTTGGATGTTAGTTTCTTAGGCACTTACATACAGTTTGATGTTTGAATATGCAACATAAGTCTTCTGTTGCTATTGGATACCAACTTTTGGTGCTGAGGAAAGTAGTTAAGAGTTGGCTCTTGTACCTAGAATGCAATGAATAGAATTTGAACATTAGTGCAATTTGAAAGAAGACATTAAAACATTTGTTTTCAGTGAATAAGTTTTCTGGATAAAATATTTTTTAAATTTACATTATTTCAGTTATTTATTTCTGTTATGAGATTTGTGTGTTTTGGTTTGTTAGAAAAATTCAAATTATTCTTACATAATATTTTGTTTCATAGTATTATATATTAAGTACAATAAATTTATGAAATTTCAAAAATATATAAATATTAATTATATAAATGACTAATATTTATATTATTTCATAACATACATTTTTAATTTCAAAATTTTAATGGATGAATTCAACTAAGAAAAACAAATTATAGAATATAAGATGATAAATATGACATTTTCTGTTTAGTAATATTTACAGTATATTAGTAAATAAAAATATATATAGTGCTTAAATGTCAAATATGTTGCAATGATATTTTTTGTAGCTGATAAATGTGTATTTATTTACAAGAAAAAATTGATAATTGTCAAAAACTATCATTATGCAGAAATGAAATTAATAATAATTGTGATATTGATGTAGAATTTACACAATGAGTTCTTATTTCATATAAAACAATAAAACTTGTACATGCTATACAGTTTGTTTGATTTGGCTACTCAAGTGCCAATTGTAAATTTTATATCAATTATATTGCATTTGGTCTAGTGTATTCTACTAATATTTATATCATGTTTATATCACATCTGCAGTTTTAAATTACAATTTTAAGATTAAAAATTAACAGAATGATGTATGTAAGACAATGCTAAAGTTTAGACAAGAAACAAAAAAATGATATAACTCAAAATCTCAAAAACAAATTTTTGTTTGAATTCAAATTATAATTTTATAAGATAAAATTGATCCTGAAAATTTTATTCTCTGATTAGGATTATTATTATCATGGTCATTATTTATCCTTATATTTATTTATATTTTTTGATATTACTTATTTTTTATTTAAATATATGTTACATATTATTATTTAACATTTTAATTAAAATTTGCTTACTAAAGAAATTTTTTCATTGTTTTAGGCTGAAAAAGTACGATACAGATTTTCACCTGAAGAATACAGAGCCATACAAGAATGCAACAGAGAGAGTTTCTATTATAGAAGTATTTTGTTCATTTATATTTTAATAATAATATAAAAATGATATTAATTACACTTTCTGTATAATAGAAACATAATGTTTTATATATTCAGGTTTACCTCTTGCTGCAACAGCTATGTTTGCAGTTCAATTAGCAGTTAAACAAGGTAACTAAATATTATAAAAAAAACTTTTTTTTATTAATGTATTGTTAAGTCGTATTGACATAACAATTCCATGGCAGAGTCAACTTTTTATTGTAGGCTACTCATCCGCCATCCAATGCAAAAAGTTAAAATAGTCTTCTAGTGGTGGCACAATGATAAAATTAATAAATACAGTGAAAACTGCTTAGGTGACCACCGGCATTCGATGGGTACCTGTCAAAACGGGCAAAACTTCCTGGCACCGAATAGTTTATCCATAGAGTCTTTGTATAAGTTATCTGTATTAAACGACCACCTGTGTAACGCGACCGTGGGCATCGATTTTTGGTCTGAAACAACATACAACAACTGTATTAAGCGATCACTTCCGTGAATATATCTGGTCTAAACTATTGTTCAACAACGTTTCCCTCCTCCTAAAATAAGGAATTAGTCTAAACTCTCCTTCGAACCCATCTTGGGCACTTTTCCCCACCCTTGAAATTAGGTAGAATTAGTCTAGCAACAAAGGAAATTCATTTCAGTTTGTTCGAAATTGTCCAAAAAACGAAAGAAATGCAAAGTGCTGTCGTTAGGAGATCGTATTAAAGTTATCACAACAGCAATTAGCAGCGAAGTTTAACTGTGGGGAAAACGAAATTTATTTTACCGTAGACCTACAGTATTTTCCTTGGGGTATAAAATATTGTACACGATACAATTAATCGGATGATCTCGTTATTTGATAAAATTTATTTTTATTTATTTATTTATTTTGAAGCTTATATACAGTATATATGCGATAAATAGTTTCTGTACCAACCGACCTTAATTCCACAATATTTTTAGAAAAATAATGTCCAAGTAATTTTTGCATGCAAAATATTCAAAAAACAATAAATGCATTAATACAAAAATCAGTTTTACAGGCAACCTTCCTTTTTCGATTTTGCGATGACAATTGTGGAATGTAATGAAATTGTATAATGAGAAAAAATAATAAAATTGTTTTATTATTAATTAATAATTTTTCTTATTGTACTTAAGAAAATATTAAATATTAAAAAATACAGTATTTTTAAAGTTAAAATAATATTAAACTAACGAATACCAAAACCAAAGTGATGTAGAGATACGACGCACTTGTATATCGATGACATAATACACGTAACTGAGTAGTGAATGAAAACAACCAAGTCAAATTAATTAAGTCGGAAAAAAGAAAGTGTGCATTATAATTGAGAAAATGCGACTATTGTATTAATCTTTAAAATAATGGTATTAAATCTGTCTTATAAAATCACGACTACTCCTGTAAATCGAGTTATCCGATAAGAATAAAATACAATACCAATATAACCCTATCATTGAAAAAATTCGCTTATTTTTGCTCACCTCAAGTTTTGCTTAGTAGAAATGGCTAAAAAGTGCACAAAATATGTATGGAAATACGGTATTACAGCACCACCTGTATTGGACGACCACCTGTCTAAAAGACCACTTTTTTTGAAGGAACCGTGGGTGGTTGCCATAGACAAGTTTTACTGTACATTTAAAAAATTGCCAGGACAAATTTAGATTTACAAAAAATATATTTCTTGGTAGACTATACATATACAATGAAAGGTCGACTTCACCGTGGAATTGTTATTACAGCACATTAAAGGACCGAATGAAATAGACTCATTCAGTGTGTATAGTCTACCAAGAAATATATTTTTTTGTAAAAAATATGTGGTTTCTTTTTTGTCTCTTTGAGAATTTATGTAATGTTACCATCCTCTACATATTTTATTCTCAAAATTTTCATCTGACAAGCAAATATGTGAATAAATGCTAATGTTCATTTATATTTCATATTTATTAAAAAAAATTGATTTTAATGTTTTCATTTTTGATGATGGTATTTGACTTCATAATTGTGACCAAAATTTAAGTGGCTTTGTGAAACAAGCTCTCAAATATCAATGTTTTTGAAGTTTATAGAAGATGGTATTATATAGATTATACAGTTTGAAAAAATACTTTAGTATTTTTTACATTTAACATCATTCATTAAGGAACAAAAATAAAAATAAATTGAATTCTATAAACCATAATATGCATTTGATCAAATATGAATATTAATGTGAGAAGCTAGAAGTTGGAGGTTATTACTCGGAACCCTTTTGTTGCAGCGTCAGATCAGTGAGGCCCGCTCATCTGTCACTGGATGGCTATATGCATTTGAATTAAAGATGAGGGCTTAATTGCTAGTGGGAAAGCCGTGAGTTCGTCAATAGGGTGCCAATTTCCAAATAAATTCAATCAACATCAAATAAACAAATAACAAAAGTTTAATGAGCTACATAAAGCAATGGATAAATACAACTGTCATAAGCATAGTTAGGCTATTGACCTAGATTTATATCTAGGTCAATAGCCTAACTATGTCACCTCTAAATACCAAGAGAAAGAATTTATATGAAGACGAGTATAATACTGAAGGCTGATTGTGCATTGTCTTTGGATCTAGTCTGCTCATGGAGGTTGCCTTTAGAATGGAGATGGATGAGGGCTTGGCCTACTCTTCTAGGCAAGTGTCCGTCCTGAGACAGGTGTGTAATTTCTTATATTCTGTAATTCCCACCAGTTGGGGTTTAGGATTTCTATCATCTGATGGGATATTTGTCCTGATGTAAGTGGACAGATGTTTGCCAGAAATGTGCAATAACATCTTGTCATGGGAAGTCGGGAGTCAAAAAAGAAAGGTTTATTTCTCCTTTCTCCTCTTTTCCCACAAAATTACACAAATGTGTCTTTTTTAATGACCAAAAATAAATACTTTAATTTTGAATTATTAAATAAAATTATTCCCTTTCTCCAGCATCTTACATTAATTTATTCTAAGCATTAATAAAAAGATGACTATTATTACGTTTACAATTTGCATGTATTTACTGTTTTTTTTTTTTTTTTAAATTTGGTTCAAATTAAACTTTTGTGGAGATTTACAAAATAATACAGATAACAAGAGAATATTTTCTTAAGTTTATTTTTTCTCGTTCATTGTGTAATTCATATTTATGTGGAGCTGTGTTTTTTAAAATGCAATTAAAAATTTAAATAATATAAATTTTTTATTAATATATTTTAAAAGAGAAGAAGTGTATAAATATTTTTGTTTACAAATTATTATAATGAGAACTTCATTTTTAATTTTTATGAATTCTTAATATATTGAAAGCTTCATAAAATGAATGATTTGATATAAATTATTATATTTTACTAAATTATCATTTACTTTTTGAAGAATATCAAGAAATATATATATATATATAACTGAAAAGTAATAAATTATTTCCATGCTTAAACTTCAGAATGTTATATACTGAGTTTATACTGTACATAGTTTATGTAAATAATAAAGTCAAAATGACAATATTGATGTGTTAATAAATGCTGATGCATAAATATACATATTCTACATTTTTTCAATTTCAAATTTAGAAAAAATAAATTTATTTTCAGATAAAATTAACATTAATTTCAAGCAAAGATAATAATTTGCTTAAAATTAGTTATGCAATAAATTAGGCAGTTAGTTAACTTTTAGGTTGGATTGTGATTGAATTAATTCTATATTAAATTGTTATAAATAAATTGTGCAATTATCAGATAAACATTAACTGTAGCATCCCAAAATAAAGAACTTAAAAAATTAACATTTTTCAAGTTTTGATTACAATAAAGCCTAATTCCCAGGAATGGCATTGTCTGTTTTCATGGCTGCAGGAAAATATTTGTACATGGTTTGTCAAACATATTTGACTTTTTCTGAAAATGAATTTAATTTACTGGAAACAAATTTCTGAATTTGAAAGTGAAAAGGTCTGGACCTAAATATTTATACTGGTTGGATGAAGAATAGGTCTTTTATTATTAATTGTAATTAATTAAAATTTTTTTATAATAATTGATATTTTTAAATAGATAATCCACAGCTGTATTCAGAAATATCAGAAATTAGTATAAAAGTTATTTTATTAAAAGAAAATATGAATCATTTTTTCAGTTTCTGAGAGAAAATTTAATAATATAATTTAAATTCTTAACAGGCATATTGTCTTCTCATCCAAGATGGGGTTCAACATTTAAATTAATGGGTATGTAATTTTTAACTATTGATTGAGATATTTGAAATGATTTTAACATTCAACCTCAAAATAACAATAAACAGGGTTTTCAGGATAGAAAAACATGCTCATATTTTACAAAAATAAATTATAAAAGAAATACACAAAGAAGCAGAACATTCTGGTAGCTTCAAAAAAAATAATAAAAAATGAATAACATTCCATTAAAAAAACAAACAGATGACAACACTTTTGTATTGAAAGCTGAGTAGATGACTGTCCACAACAAATTATATATTATGTTGATTTTTTTAATTACTATTGCATGTTGTTTGTATGAAGAAGTTATGACTATAAGCAAAGTTTGAATAAAAGATATTGAAATATCAGAAAAACAATAATTAAATATAGTTAAAAGATAATTTTTTCCATACTATATATATATACAGTAGAGCCCCTATATCACGGGTTCCCAACCTATGGGTCGCGACGGGTTTTCTGTGGGGTCACCAACTTATGCAGTAAACTAAAACAAAATTTTCACTGTAATGCAATATTTATTTTTAATGGTGTCTTAAAGTTTGAATAATTTCATATATTTTTAAAAAATTAAAATAAGTGTAATCTGGGTATGCTATTCTGTCACAGTTGGTTGAAACATGTGTTGAGAGTTTTGAGAGGAATAAATTAAATGTTGAGAATGACATGAGGTTGGCGTTAACAAAATCTCACCCGCGAATATTGAGGCTGGTTAATAATACATGCAATTTCAACCATCTCATTAAATTAATTATTAAACATAATTTAAAATAAAATTATACTAAAAAACTAATTTCATTGTTTTTTTAATTACCTTATTAAAAATACCTTTTTCAATTGTATCAGGGTCGCGGGTCACTTGGCTTTTATAAAAAGGGGGGTCGCCACCCGAAAAAGGTTGGGAACCGTTGCCCTATATGATGGCAAAAAAATTGACGACTGTAAAAATTGGCGACTGTATTCGTATAAACACACTAAAAGAGACTTGCATAATTCGGTAAAACATCATCGCCGACTCATGTCGCGACAGGATTGGTCAAATCTAGACCAATAGAGGATATTGCACAAACCATTGAGTTTAAACGAGCAGCGGACCTACTAAAAACCATTTGTTATTTAATGTTCATAAAAATTATATTTATATTAGTGATGTCTCCAAAGTTCAGCAAAGTTTTCGCTAAAAAATAATTTATTGGGAAGCACGCGAGCGCCATTCGATGTGCCGCTCCGCGACGAAAACAAGCTTAAGCAATGGTGTCCTTGAACGATGCACACTCGGTAAATAATCCTACAATTTTTTGTTTATAGCATAGTTTATATGGATTATTTCCAAAAATTATATGTATTTTGGAAATGTTGGGTCGAATTAGTCTAGAATCGATTAATTTTATGGAAGAAAACCTTTCAAACAGCCATAGTCTGTAAACTGCATACGTGCTGGGCTGTGATTGGCTCATGTATTTAATGACTCATAGAAAAAGAATTTCATAAAAACTGGAACGTATCTACCATGTTCTAGGGGGTCGACTGTATATAAACATTATTCAGATATAATTCAGTTATATAATTATAGTCACACAATTATAAGTACATTTGATTTTAGTTTGTAACATTATGAAGTACATACCATATTTTAATGTCTGTAAGATATGCTTTCATTTCAGCACAAAATATTTAGTGTATTTAAGTCATTATTGCACTATTATTGTTACTATTACTATTACCACAATTTTGATACTCAGTCGCAAAATATTTTTTACCGTATTCTCATTGAGGAAGAGCATTAGTGAAGCCTCTTCTATATGACTTACAGAATTGTGTTCATTCTCAAAATCTGTTCAATTGATTTTGATAAAAATTTGCCATTTGCCATTAATTGCAGTGAGTTATTCAAAAATGGGTAGAATTTTACTTATGTATTCCCTATGGTGGCAGTTCCAGAATCTTGACAAAATGAGTGTTTTGATAGTTAACATAGATGATGTTGCCTTGCATATACTTGAATTGTTATGTTGTATGGTTTCTATATTATGGCCAAACCATTTTATGTCTTAGGTAGGTGTATTTTAAGTATGATGATATAAAGAGTTGTAGCATGTTTTTTGAGTTTCTCTTCATTATGATTTGTTTTTGAGGTTTTTTTTTATTTCTTTGGCATGGAGGTTTTAGAAAATGATCCACAATTTTCTTGGCAAAAGTGCACTTGGGATTTTTTCCATATTTTAGATTTGAATTTTCCTGAACTCAATGTCAATAAGAGAATTTCATCCAATCTTAACTTTGCCATTTTAAGTTTACATTTCTCACAAATTGCAACCTGCAGATGCAATTTGTGAGAAATGTAAAGGTCAATGTAAATTATTTTTTCAGATGATTATGATTCTTTTGCTTTTTGATGTCATAAAAGAAAAACAAACAGTTTGGCATTAAAAGGTACATTTTAAGGCAAATTTGAATATTTCTTGTGGTGAGACAAACAAAAGAATAGTACCCCATCTAATTTGCATAGAATGTATTTTGAGTGAAATGTGTTTTGGCTGTGGGTGTGAGTTGTCGAACAGCTGTGGACTGAGTAATTTCATACAACATGTAATGATGGTTTCCTTGTCTAATTTGACCCAAATGAAAATTGGTGAACCTGGAAAGGTCATCAAGACCATTGTGAGCAAAAAGGAAGAACAAAAAAGGTGGTTGTTGAAGGGCACCTGGTGGGTTGTTGGTGGAGTTTGCCATGATGATAATTCCAATTTTGTGTGTAAGGTAAATGACAAGTTTGAAGTCAGTCTGAACTGGGTTATTAGCAAGTTTGTAATTTCAGGAAGTGTAGTGTACACGGACAAATGGAAAAGTTACAATCACATTGACAATTTAGAAGGAGTCAAAATAACTTATGGCACTGTGAAACATGCTAAAAATTTTGTTTATTCAGTTACAGGAGTTCAAATGCAAAAAATTGAACATTTATGGAATTGTCTGAAAAACCACAAGAATTTGCCTATGCATTTTACAAAAGAATTGTCTGAATCATATTTATATGCTTTTATGTAAAAGAAGCTTCTGAGATGAGAAAAATTAAAACCAGGAGAATGTTTCAAGTTGTTTGTCCAGCATATGAGTAAGATGTCTCCAGGAGTGGGACATGTTCCAGTTTGGAGAGAGCCAGAAACTATACCCTCTGTGCCTGAATAACCCTCAAGAAATCCATAAATAGTAAGAGGAAGCTTGTTGACAAGTGTTTTAAGAAGATGAAAAAATTTCCTATGAAGGAAAAAACTCAAGATACAAAAGAATCAGCCGAAACCTTTTGTCCAATACTAAGTGGAAGAAAAGAAAGAAAATAAATTAGAAATATTTTAAAGGTGAGTAAAGTTTGTTTTCTTTTAATGCCAGTATAGTATTGTTAGCAGAACCAGCTGCCATCTTGTTTTTAGACGTCATGTTCACAAACAAGGTGGTGATTGGAAATGTGCTACCATAGGGAATACCTAAGTAAAATTTTACCCAAAAATGTAATGATAGTCCATTTAAATGTAAAAAATAGGAGTTTACAAATTTGTTTTTAATATACAGAGGTATTAAAATCATAATATCTGTGCTCTCTTATGTGAAAGAGTGTGCCTAATGGAATTTAGACCTAAGGGTCAAAAATAAAAAGAGCATTGTATTTGCTTAATGGAAAGTAGGTGCAAAAACTGAAGAAAACACAAGAACAAAGCAATTGATTCAAGAGCCTCTCCATGTCAGCAATTACAAGGATCATCTCCATATCCAACCAGTGCAAGGATCACATCTCTCGTGACTGGCAGTTACAAGGCTAACTTCTTTTGTGGCAGCAAGTGCAAAGTTTACCTGTTTGCATTCATTAGGTACAAGGATTGCTTCTTTTGTGCCTAACGAGTTCAGGGTTTGTTTCTTTCTACTGTATCTGGCTCCACCTCAATTCTATCACGATATGACAAAGTCACATGATGTCCTACTAAAAAGTGTAAAGTACAATGCACACTTTTATTTACCAGGGAAAAAGAGGAATTTAAAAATCATTTACAATTAAAATTTTCATTAAAATACTTCAACATATATATTCAAGAGCTCTTAGTTATAGTTAATAATTGTTTAATTAAACAATAACATTCAAGAGTTAGACTAGGTAGAGGTTACCTGTAGCCTACTGAAGGCTTTTTGGGGAATTCATCAACTTGTACGAGGTCACAATTTATGCTGTAAAATATATGTTTACATTTTACATAAAATTAATTTCTCATTTTTAAATTAAAGTTTGATATTTTTATAGGTGCAGGTTTTGTGGGTTGGTTTTTAGGAAAATTATCTTACAGAGAAAAATGTGCTGAAAAGTTAATGCAGTTACCAAATAGTCAAATAGGAGAATCTTTGCGTCGACGAAAGCTTGGAGAAGAATCGTAAGTATAACAACATTAAAGGAAAAAGTTTTAAAACAATTATATATATATATATGCAAGAATTTTTCATAAGTCAATAACTGTTTTCAATAATTTATTTTAGAGAATAGTTAAAATAAATATACATTAATGAGAATATTTTAGTGTATTTCATATGTAAAAACTACAAAAAATCATCTGGGGATTAGTAAATAATTTTTATAAATTTACTAGCTGCATGGACCCGCTTTGCTGGGTTTTTATTTGTATGTAATATAGTTTTTTATATATATATAAAAGACTGTTTTTCTAAATAATCTAGAATCTAGCTGCAAGGACCCGCTTTGCTGGGCAAAAAGTAACGATAGTGAAAATTAAGATAATTACATTATAGCCAATCTTACCCGTTTTCACAGAATGCAAGAATTAGGTCCCCTGTTTCCAGACTAATTAGAGAATTTTTACGTTTAGTCAAACAAACTATTTTCAATTTGATCAATTTTCTGGAACGTTTACAATCGTTCTATAATCGAACCAATTCGAATACAAATTCGAATTTAAAACGGTTCGAACATTTT